ACACACACACACACACACACACACACACACACACACACACACACACACTAGAAGTGGTGCTGGTAGTACTAGTATTTGTCAGAGTGGTCATATTATTATCAATACAAGTAGCCACAGCAGCATCAGAATATTGGAGCTGGGACATCCAAGATGGTACTGTGCTTCCTGTTCAGTAGAGGCCAGGGTAGCCCAGCTTGAGGACCAGGAGAAAAGCAGGACATCCTCCTTGTGACTGTCGCAGGTAGACTGCAGCATTTACGAGAAGCACCCAGTGGTGGCCATCCCCTGCCCCATCACATACCTGCCTGTTTGTGGTCTGACTACATCACCTATGGGAATGAATGCCACTTGCGTATTGAGAGCTTGTGAGTACTGCATGGGAAGAAAAAGCACCTAGGGCAGCGTCCTCCACTGCAATCTTCTCCTCTTTCCACAAGCCTGCTTAACTCTCCAGAAGCTATACTCTGCCCACCCAGAGAAGCTGGGAGAGATAGAAAACTTGCTGCCTCACAGTCAGATTAGGGTTGAGCCACCTGCTCTGCCAGCTTGGACTGGTCCCTCCATGACAGAACCTCTAATTCCTGTCTGTCAATTGAGAGAGTCTAACAAGACCATGAGCTTCCAAACTGCTGTCCCCAGAGCCCAGAGGTTCTGTAGAGGCAAGTCAGGAGTCACCAAAGAGGTTATGGGGATCGTTTGGGGTGGTCTCCGATCCCAACCAGCTTTGGACTATTTTAAGGAGTAGAGTTCCAAATAATTTCTTATTGGAAGAAAGGGTTCTGAATCCCACACTAAAAAATAATTGAAAACCACTATCTTACATGACTTCTAAGAGACTTAACAGCCAACAGATGATTCTTAGATAAACTGTAGCCAGAGGGTCTTTACTCTCCTCAATTTCCTAGTGGCTCTAAATATCTGCAGCCTTAGGGAGATAGGGAGGATAAGGCTACCACAAAGATTATATATTTTTTGATCTAAAATAGGGGAACACAAGCTGTCAGTACTTGGACCAGAATCCCATGAACATGTTTTAAGTATTTTGTTTGGCCTGCACAGGGTTTTGGAAGGCAATAACCACCAGGCAAACGTCACTTCTTTGGTACAAAACAGGCAACTCAGCATTTACTATCTTAACACCAAGTCCCCTTTGCTCACTGTTAACTCTCTTTTAGACCACTGGATTTTGGCCACTTATCTCATATCTTGTGGTTTTTCATCTTTGTGACTATCTTATCAAGTTAAAATACAGAGTTAGGGCCTGAGCCCAGAAGGATATGTCTACATACTGATTCCTACTCGGGAACTTTTATTTCACAAAAGGGAAGATTCTCTAATGTGCACAGACACTGGGTCCGCAGCCTAGAAACCAGTCTGTGTCCAAGGACACTGAAGGGGACATGTGGTGGAAGTTCTCCTCACTAGTGCAGGATCCAGCCTCATCACAGGCCCTGCTGACCAGAAAAGGCTGAGGGGAAGCCAACCTCAGCTTCCCTTGTCAGACGTCCTCCTTCTTTGTTGTTTTAAGACATTGGGTGATCAGTCTGGGCTCTGGGGTAAGTGGAGGCAGCAGGTGGGATGGAAGTGTCACTGGTCTAGGGACATTCTGCTTCTGCCTCTGTCAGAAACTGCCTGCGGCCAGGACATTCCTTTTTAGGGACTCATTTTCCTCATCTGTAAGATGAGGTTCCGCCTATAATCTCTATAGTTCCTTTCAGCTCTAATATTGTATAAAATTTCCTCTTGTGTTAATGAATCCTGTTAACTGTGTTGTTCCCATAGGAAGAGTACTGAAAAAGTTCAGTTTCTTCGTGAAGGAAGATGTTAACTTCTCCACAGACGTGATTACAGAGCAAGGATATCGTCATTGTCATCTTCATCATCCCTGGGCCTTTTCCCTCATGTTGGCACAGGTTCCCAGGGGGTGGAGTTGGTAGGGAGGGGGCAGACACAGATTCAGAGTCATCTTTGCTGGGTGGAGAAAATTGCGCTCTCCTTCAGACTCCCCACCTCACTGACTGACAAATACAAACATGTCAAAATAAACTAAAAAGTACAATGAAATTCTAACAATTCATTGTTGAGGTCTAAGTATCAAATAAAATAATTACGCTTATTAAAAACTTTGTAGAACTATCATCTACCTAGTAACCTTAATAGATCAAAAGATAAAACCCCATTTTAAATGGAACATAAAGAGCAAAATATGTATAACACCAAGAGCAATGGTCATAAATTTTTTTAGGAATGACATGCCTTCATAACTACAAATTTATTCCATAAATACCTTTCATAGTAATAATTTTATAGCAAAAATTATCAAAATAAACCAGTGAACTTTCTGACACAGCTTAAAAAATCTAACTTAATCCTAAGGTTTAAAAAGTATATTTTTAGAATTGGCAAAAAAATTTTCATCTGCAATGAAAGAGACACTATTTGGGTAATTTATTTTCTAATTGTTCTAATGAAACTCTAATTCCTAGTCAAGTCTTCTTTACTTGACATACCAGTCTGTTTTAACAATGATGCTGTGTGACTCTACTCAGGGAGTAGGGGACACTTGTAAATGCTACTCTAAATTTAACACAGCTCTGAACCACCTTTATTATTTTAATTATCAATCTAATTGTGCCACCAACGTCAGCTATTCCATGTTAATAAATACCGACCCATGATTTTAGACTCCCAACCCTCTAATCCTAATGTTAAATGCATAATTTATCCATAAACCTAGCCAGTTCATAGTGTTTAACTCAAATCTATGCTTAACACTAAGCTCACAATATTTGACTCCAATCTGTTAATCACAGTAAGACGCTCAGTAATCTAATAATTCTCAGCCTTTGATGTTTCTGACACACCTTCTCAACCCAATCATAGACATGAAGAACCAGTACATAAGTGCACAAAAGAGAAGAGATATTGGTCCAGAAATGCTGAGTAGTGAATAAAAACAAAAGACCACTCTTTCTCCTTCTGTTTCATTTCCTCTTTTTCCTATCAAATAGTTTTCCTTTTCTCTATGTTAGTTTTTTCTCTTTCTATATATTCCTTCTCTGTGATTTTTTATTGCTCTTTTAACTTTTCCTAACTTTTCCTTAAATTCAATACCTTTTTCTCATTCTCTCTAGCCCCCATAAGTATCTTTTATTTATTCAAGCCTTCCAACATCCATACCTCAAGGTCTGACTGTAAATCCCTTTGCAGCGATGGTCAGATGAGCACATATACCCACATACACCCTTTGGGAAAATTTATATTTCTAGACATTTGTCTCAAATGAAGAGACCTTGGGACCTACCTCCAAAACTTTTATCACATATATTATTCTGTAGTCAAATCCTTACCTAGGTTTGAGGCCTAATTTATAGCTTATATCTCAACATTTAGAAATAAATTCTAATTTCACATAAATCCAAACAATGTTCACCTTATATCTAAATCCCAATTTTTACCTTTCACAGTTACTTCTATAGCGTAATTCTTAACCATTCTCCTCAAAAGCCAACTCTTAATTCTCTCTTTTAACTCAAACCTCGAAATAGAAATCTTTAACATTATTCTGCATACGATTCATTTCATATAAATAAATCTGAGAACCAACACTGAAGTCAGTGCTGAACTTTTAAAACTGTCAACCAAATTTTTTGTTGTCTCTGGGTCTTATTTCTATTCACTGATTGAATCAAAATGCCTGTTTATATGAATACGGTACTCTGCTTGTGTGTGACTGTGTCACTGGAAGCTATAATCTCACTTTGTGCGTCAATAAGTACTTAGGTATATGGTTACACGTGACTCTTTATAGACGACCAGATCATTGCTGGTGGCCCCAGTGATCTGGCCATAAGAACTGTATTTGAAAGTCATTATGCATGAGAAAATAGTGAGTTACTCATTTTCAGTTTATAAATATGCAGGTTGTTCCATTTAATATCTTACTGTTGACTATTTACACTGGTACAAATAAGTCCCTGTTGTTCAGTACTTTCCCCAAGTACTGAAAGGCTGAAGTTGAAATAAAACAAAAATTTAAAACACAAGATAACAGAAAAAATAAAACACGGCTAAGGAATTTTCATTTATAACAAAATCATTTTTCAACCTGAACTGTTTCTTTGACTCCAGTTGCTTTAAAGTTAAATGATTTCAAGCCAATTCTGTGCCTCTGTGACAAGCTGCTTCTATCGAGACCTAACTGAGTCTGCCTTACTGCATGTCTCTCTCAGCTTGGGTCTCCTGGTTATCAGTTTGTGCCTAAAAAGCTGCCAGGAAGTGTCTATTTCTAATAGTCTTGTTTATTTCCCACCGTGTCTATAAGCAATCTCACAGAGTTGCCTGAGAGGTGGGACAAGCAAATAAGTTCCTCACCTTCCACAGTCATTCTGCCGCACCAGTAAAGACACGATGCACTTGTGGCTTCCTCAAGCCAATGACCTGGGACCTCTGTGTTCTTTGGGAACTTTGGGGAAGGGATCAGTCTTGCCCACATACTTGGAGCTCTGGATTATAAGCCTGGATCTGGAAAGCCAGATATCTAATCACAAATGTAAATGTGAAGTAAATTTATTTTTAAAATTTTACATTTCCAGGTTTAGGCCTTGGAGAACACATGATTTTATTTAGTTTTACTCACTTCTCTGTACTCATAAACATTTGCATCACTGAGGTCTTTATCAACCTCATCATCATTGTCTTCATTATAAAACTCCACCAAGCAACTCATGAGAACACATCGAACCTTTAAATAGAAGACTGTGTGCTTACCCCAACCTGAACATTTACCAGGTGTGTAGCTATGGGTAGGTCACTCTATATGTGCAATATCCTTTTCCTTACTGATAAAATAAAGAGAATAATAATCCCTAGTTTAACCTGTATATTGTGAGAATCAGATGAGAGATGCATGTGTACGTGCTTTGTAAATTATAAAGTCTGATAGAAATGAAAGGGATGATTATGATGTGTATGCCCTTTCTTCTCCAACATTTACAAAAGCATAAAAACATATACCAGATTTTTTTTGCAATATGCTTGGCATGTTAAAGTCTCATGACCAGTAAATTCTCAGGTATTTTTCCTTGGTTTGAGAAATGGGAACATTTCTGTTCATTAGAAGTTGATACTAGAAAGTGAAAAGGAGAATATGTAGTTTAAACATATAAGATTATACACATTTACCTATACAGTTTGCCCCATTTGAACATGGCCCCACTTAATAGCATGAGTAAAACTGTAATAAAAAATGATATTTACATAATCTCAAGGAATATTATTACAACGTATTTATTAATTTTGAAAGGAAAAAAGAGTAACTTTACAGTGGAGAACCTGGCAGCTACTAACTTACTCGAGTGATTAAAGTTAGCATCATTAGTGATGGGGCAAATCAACATCATGTATGCACACGTCAGGGGTGGGTCCAGGGGTGTATCTAGCAGCTGTGGACTTTGTTGGTACACTCACCAGGTAGTGGGTGGCATCACAGGATCCCAATGACCAGCACCTGGGAAGGAGTACCCAGAGGTCCCTTTCAAGGCAGGAGCACTCTGGTTCTGCCCACGTAACACCACAGCCTGGAGGCAGATCTAGGGTGAACAGATCCTGGGGGAGCCCTACCACCGAGGCAGACCAGGTCCCAGGCAGCAGCAAAATCACTTCGATTCCTGGAGCCACAACACCCCAGCCTCCAGAGCCTAGCACTAGGTCTGGGACAAACACAATGGAGAAAGGGACGCAAAATTGGGCTGCCTCTGGGCAGAACCACAAACACCTGCACGTGCAGCCCATAGGTTCACTTTGACCACATGGGCCTCACTTGCTTCAGCACTCACCGCCTTGGGGACAGAGCACACATGTAAAGGCAATGGACCCTTAATGAAACCAACCCTCAGGGCTTCTACTCTAAAATCTGGGGAGGAGACCCCACCCTCAACAGGGCTGTGACAGCCACGGAGCAAAGAGGAGGCTCCTCCCATCATCCAGTGCAGGCTCTGGTCACCACAACACCATCACACCCCTTATCAAGGGGATAATGGCCAGCACATGCTGAGGAAAGAACTGGCTGGCATCCATACCAAAAATAGCCCTGGCACCAAAAATACCAGACTTACACAGTCTACACACGGATGCTCCCACATAAAAACACCCCTTCAAGGCCATAGTAGATAACTTTTTCTGTCTCTATGAGTTTATGGGAAACAGTTAAGTATCATGAAAAAGCAGAGGAACTATTCCCAATTAAAAGAACAAGAGAAATCCCCTGAAAGAACAAACAACGAAACAGACCTCTCAAGTCTACCAGACGCCAAGTTCAAAAAGGAGGTAATAAAAATGCTGAAGGAAATAAGAAAGATTATCAATGCAAATGCAGATCAGTGTAACAAGGAACTAAAAACTATAAAGAGGAACCAATCAAAATTAGACAACTCAATTGCCAAGATAAAAACCAAGCTAAAAGTAATGAATAGCAGACTAAGTTTCATAGAAGAATAAATAAGTGATCTGGAAGACAGAATAACAGAAATCATTCAATCGTATCAGCAGACAGAAAGACAAATGAAAAGAAGATGAAAGCAACATACGAGATGTATGGGATAATATAAAGTGTGCAAACTTACGCATAATAGGGATTCCAGAAGGGGAAGAAAGAGAAGTGGGGATCAAAAATATATTTGGAGGACTTCCTGGTGGTGCAGTGGTTAAGAATCTGCCTGCCAACACAGGGGACATGGGTTCGAGCCCTGGTCCAGGAAGATTCCACATGCTG